AGGACAAAATAAAGGAAAAGCAAATGCAAAAATAAAATTGAAATACATAAATTGCATGTTTTTGACATTTAGCTAAAGAAGAATCACTGAAGCAGATTAGGTGAGCTTGAGACTTCCACAACCCTAATTTGTGTGCCATATTTTAGGGATATTGCATTGGAATTTGATAGCAGGGGTTAACGGGAGATAAAGGAATAATTCTACAGGTTAGCAGCAGGGAATCACTTGAGGGGAGAACATAATCTACCCACAGAGCACAGCTATTATCTACCATGGTTGTCCACCTTCTGTGCCTCTGTGGCTCCACTGTGAGACCCCTCCCCCTGCTGTGGCCCATATCCGTCACTCTTTGTTAAGAAGGCACAACATTTTCTCACTCAGGCGAAACATGGGAGCACATGCGTGGAGTGACCTGTAATGCAACGCTGCTGCTGCTTAGCTGCTAGCTCTCAAACTCACCATTCAAGGCTACAGGCTGCGAGCTGTCCACCAAAGGGATTTTATCAGGATGTGTACACTACAATCCCCATCGTGGTATCTACTGTGAGAAGAAACAGCTGTTGGTAGAGAACAAGCACAGTGCATCAGTCCTGCTCACTGAGCCGTAGATCCTGACGATTGTTACTGCTTCTCGTACGGACCAATGGAGCTTGCAGCTGTGGAATTATTACACTTCAAAATGCAAAGAATAGCTGAATCGTCCTTAGGTTGAAATAAGGTTGTTTACTGTAAATACAAGCAGGAGTTTGCCTCTGCTGGCTTTTCGACAAGGCTCGGTATTTACACAGTGCAACAGGAGGCAGTCAGTCTACTGTATTTGAAGATTAGTTGACAGACATGGTGACGACAGATAAGAACATACACTAGGTAGCCAAAACTAATGCAATCAAATTCAACAGTCCTGCAAGAAATCCGCCCTTCACCTATATTGTTAAGTCTTTATTTTGCCCTCCTTCATATCTTTTAGGTGGACAAATTCATAAAAGCACCTGCTGTATAACACAATACAATGCAACAGTGCCACATACTGCAGCCTCCAAAGTGACAGTACAGTTGAATCAACACCTCTCCAAAACACTTTCAACAAAAAACTGAACTTTATAATCCTCATGAATGTACCATACGCTTATACAGGCTGCCATCTGCAGCTAGAGCCAAGCAGTGTGGAGTCGAACTACAAAATTAAACTACAACAGTAGACTTTAAAAGATATTTTACTCCATGTTAGTGGCTCTCACATATTGCCACAAAAACTGTGGAAGTATGAGAACTATTGGGAGGAGTAAAACTATATGTTAATTTGTTATAAATAAACATGACATAGTAGCAGTATGACTCTGTTTACTTCTGTGCTTCAGCTCTGGGTGTATAAACTCAGACCAGGTGTAGGATTTCATTTCTCAAAATGTGGGCCACATTTTTACACATCCAAAGAAAATGTGCTGATTGGGTATCTCACCCACACCTCTCATGCTGAGTGTTTCCGTGCTTTCTCAGCAGTTAATACCTGTAGAAAGTGTAGACCTCTCTAGCCTCTTATTAGTGTGAAGTGCATTTGTAGCTTTTTTTTTCTTCTTTTAATAAATGGTACTTAAATGTACTTAAGAAAAAAAGAGACAAGACTAAACTGCTTATAATCAGCTTTTTTGTGTGATACATTCCTAGTGAAAGAAATGTCATTCACAATTGTTCCAAATAAGAAAAATAAGACATTGTGGGCAAAACCTGCTTACTCACTATTTACTTTGTGACTGATAAAAAGTATGAGGTACTGAAGTGAACTTGAATTGTGATAATATGACAGCAAATTGAGAGGTATATGGTATATGAATGTTACTGTAAGAGTAGCATTGAACAGATCTGTCACTTCTTTGTCAAACAGTGTTAGGTAATGCAATACAATTCAACAGCATTACAAATTACAGCCTCTAAATTGACCACACAGTTGAATCAACACCCATCAACAAAAAGTGAACATTATAACCTTCATGTAGGTAGGACTGCTGTATTGGACTGCATCAGTTTTAGCAATTTGTACCAAAGAAACTGGTTACTGATTGTAGTTGCACACCTTTGACAACCATATTGTGGTCATATATGTGTCTTCTTATTTTTAAATACATCCTATGGTGCCATTCAGTTTGAGGATGTGGGTAACTGTGCCACCTACTGGATGTGGTATTGTAATACATTCTTAAAATGCATAATATATTTTCTCTTTACATAAATCAGTTCTGATGAATCATTCTGGTGTTTAGTCAGAGCCTCCATTAAACAGTGGTAACATCCTCCTGATGCATTTCCTGTTGTTCTATAAGACCATATGACGGAGCTGAGATCAATGAAGGGGAGAAGTCATCAACATGTCTACTCCACTGGTGATGCCAAGGAGGATTAATATTTATATCGCATGGTATATGTGGTATTGTATAAAGAATGTACTGGGAAATATGAACATTTGCAGAAATGTCAGTTTTTAGTTGTACAATTTTTTGGTTTCCATTTGCTCTTATCACATTTCTGACTTCATGCCTTTTCATTTCAGCAGACTAATGGACAAAAATACTTCTCTACAGTGCATCAGCTCAGTGGAATAATCTGCCCACATATGTCAAATTGAATATTTTACAGAGGACATTTTAAGTAGCTTTTAATAAATGGTTACGAAGTACCATGTAGCATATTCAATGGTAATTTACCTTTCTATGACCAGAAAAAACAAACGCATGTTGACATAGCTACCCCCCCCATCTGCTATTTATAATTGATTGTATTATCAGAGGACCACAATGGAAATAAAGCCTGGAAATAAAGGCTTTATTATTTTTATCCTCAGTGATTTTAATTCACATTTGTAATCTGCAGTGCAGTGTTATTGTACCTTTTAAAATCATTAAACAAAATCCATTGATCAATTACCAAACCACATACAAATGCTTCCGATAACAATTGTGCAGTGAAGTCTTGACAATGACTTGGTATGAACAAATATGCTATGACTTCACACCCTGAGATGAAAGTATTTAAGTGAACATGATCACTCTCTGTTGATGCGGCACTGCTGGCACATTAATGACCTGTGTTTTCTACTATAAAAGCTTTTTGTGACTGACAAACAGTAATAACAGTAAACCCATAGCATCCAAATAGTTGAGTGGCTCCTACCTGGATAAACTGCCTCTCCATTGAACTCTGTATTGATTTTGTTCACTTTCAATAAATGAAAAAAGAAACCATCATTGAACTGCAACAAGCAGCAGCTGTTCAATGAAGAAAGATGAACAGCAGACACAGTTTACTGTCAAGCCTGACCGGTAGGGTCTCTCCCTCAGAGGTGCTGTAAAGAGACCACGGGTGTCTTGTCCAGCTGAGTTTTTAAATCAAAGATATGTATTCTATGATGAAACAGAAAAGCAAGAAGAAAACTTTTCACAACACAACACAATGGAAAGAGGATCAAATCTGGTTTTTAAGTTCCTTTCTGCAGGATTTCTCAGGTCACTGCAGTATGAACTGATTTTACATTGCTACTGCAAAACAACCTTCACCATAGGATTTAAAAATAGTTTACATACTTACAGCTCTGCATTTTCTTTCTCTTGTCTAGGTTTGCATCAGGTGCAGATACAGGTACAGCAGTGGTCCACACACACACACACACACACACACACACACCAAGGCTGAATGTGTGACAGAGGTTCCTGATTATATTGTAGTTTAAGGAAGGTACAAAGACGCTTTCTGAAACTAAAACTCTGATGTTTTGAAAAACTAAAATATTCAATGGAGTCGTGTTGATTCAAGGTTCTCTCTCAGATGAATAAGCACAATGTCTATCCCTTGTCATTTATTATTTATACACCACTACAGTGTGGTAACTCAGAAGATTCACTCTATAT